CTGACCTGGGGGACAGGACCAGCAGAGAGGGTAGGAGGAAGCACGGAAGAGACAAGAAATCACTGCCAGGGAAGACCCCGTGGCGTAACAATGACCCGTCTCTGGGGTGAACAGAGGAAGGTGGCAGGAATAAAGAATGGTGACAACACGATAAAGTAGAAGTGGAAGAATAATAGTTTCCAAGGAGGCAAATGATCCAGGGATTCTCTCTGGAAGCATACAGACATTCCACTAGGTGAGACTTCCCGCAAAGAGTCCTCAGGAAAAGCAAAGAGTCACTGGTTCGTCTGCCTCAGGACTACCGAGAACCTCTCCTCCCCCTCCGGCAGACCTTGGGGCCTCTGCTGTCCAGATGACCAGAGATGCTCAGGCTCCTTCACCCCAGGTGAGGTTGGCTCAGTGAATCCCATCACCAGCGCTTTGAGAGGAGAGAACCTCCCAACAATGAAAAGTGCTGAAGCCGCAGATACAGTTGGCACACTATTCTAAAGCGCGGAAGGAGAGGGCCTTTCACGGGTCCTATCGTGATCTGTGTGGCTCGGGGAAAGTTCCAGCACTGCTGGTAACTGTGTGACCTTGGGAGGATCCTCTCTTCTAAGGGAAGTGCCTCCAAGGTCTTTTCCAATACTAAGGTTTTATGTGTTCGTAGGAAACGCAAGGCTACCATCCTCCCCACCCCCTCCAATTTTATTTGATAAAATAGAGGCAAAATGAAACAGATATGAAAATACCCACAAGCAGAAAAGTTTGAGTTTCCCAGAGACAGATCCCCAACCCCAACCCCAACCCCCACCCCCACCCCGCAAGTGCAAGGTTCTTACTAGTGTAGCTCCATGCAGAAACTGACCGGGGCAGTTCTACCCTGTCCTATAAGATGGCTATGAATCAGAATCTACTCAATGGCCACATGCAAGTTCATGTTGGACTGAAGGAGCCCTGGTGGTGCTCTCAGTGAAGTGGTGGACTGCTAACCACCAGGTCAGCAGTTCAAACCCACCAGCAAGTCTGTAGGAGAAAGTTGAGGTTCTCTGCTGCTGTAAAGGTTTACAGCCTCAGAAACCCTATTTAGGGGCCCTAGTAGTGGAAATGGACTTGATGGCAGAAGTGGATTTTAGTATGCTAGACTGAGAGGGGGTCCCTGGGTGGCACAAATGGTTTGCTCTCAGCAACTAATCATCAGGCTGGTGGTTCCAACCCACCCCTGCAGCAGCACTGGATAAGAAAGGCCTGGCAGTCTTCCTCGATCAAGATGATCGACAAGAACCCCCCTGCGGAGCAGTTCATCTTGTGATACAAGGGGGTCTTCCTGAGTCGGAACTGATTTGACAGCAAACAGGCCTTGTTTTCCTTGATGCTGCACTCCAGCTGGGTGGAAGACATGGAGCTAA